ACATTTTAAATACCTTGGATCATTCCAGGACAGTCAGCTCAACTTTGCTGAAACACTGACTACATTTTTAAGAAACGTCACTCTATCTTTTAAGAAGACCCAGTGATCTTGGGGTTACCTAACAAGTGCAACTCGTGCAAAACCTCTAGTTAGTTAGAGGAAACATTAGCTAATATTACCTCTAGTTAAGTAATGTTAGCATTTTAACAATGAGTTAAAATGTTAAAATTTAAAAATGTAACTTATGTTTTAAGTCATCTCAAGTTTTAACTGTTGAGGGCTTTAGCTTTTCATCTCCTCGGTTAGTTTGGTCACATGAGCTGCAGACTAAGAGACAATCTTTTAAGAATACTTGGAAAAATAGTAGGTAAATAATGGTGAAACCAAAAACAACTCTGTCTCAACTGTTTGCTGAAAGAACATGGAAGACAGCATAAAATATTTCAGTAGAGAGCATCCATCCTCTTTTTTTCATCAGTGTGAGCTCATGAAGGCGTTACTGTGTTCCTCTGGTAACTATAGAACATCTATTAGACGTCATTCATTGACAGTGCAATAATTATTCTTAGCCAAATTAAATGATAACATTTACCTGTAGCATACTAAGTGTTTACTTGATGCACAAATTGTTGATATTGTGATTCTATTAATGAGTTTTATTTTACTGTTTTAGACTCAAAGAAAAATGTCCACCTTAGAAGACTGAATAGTTTAATTATATGTTTTCCTATATATAAGACTCTACCAACAAAACAAAAATGTGGATTATTGCTTGTTTAACAATCCTGGTTATTCGTCTGTGAACCTAATTAATTTATTCGTTATTAACTTTTGCTCAATTAAATTTCTTATGTATTCATTGTATATGGTATTTTTATTGTTGTTGATAATGTTGTTTTTCATGTTTGCTGCAGCAAGGTGTACTTGCTGCAGGCGGGGCTTTAATAAGCTGGTAGTTTGGGGCAAAACAGGAAGTGGGCTGGCAAAAACAAAAGTCTTGAGTAATTGCGGGTTACAGAGGTATATCACGTCATATTTATGAAGTACTTATGGAAAAACCAACAAATGTCGCCGATCTTCTTTGCTATCAGTATAGAACCTTCAGCAGAGCTAATCAGGTCAGACTCATCAATCCTAGGTATACCAGATAAAATTAGGACCCACAAACTGTCACTGTATGCTGATGATGTCATACTGTATATTAGAGACCCAATAATTTCTATACCAAATATTTTAAAAGGTTTGAAAGACTTCAGTGTAGTCTCAGGATACAAAGTAAATGAATCAAAACCAGAGGCCATGATAAGAGGGACCTGGCCTCCAGAACTATCCAAATTAGTGAATTTCAACTGGTCACCTAACGGGTTTCGATATTTGGGAATCAATATTACCACGGATGTCCCCAAATTATACAAAACAAATTATGGGAAGTTATTGGATCAAACTCAAAATGAATTTGGGAAACATGGGAAATTTTACCGTTTTTCTTTTTGGAAGGATTGAAACAGTCAAAATGAATATTCTCCCCAGATTGTTGATTTTTTTATGTCCCTTCCTATTTGGATTCCAACATCAAGATAAAAAAAATGCAAAAAATAATCTCTACATTTATTTGGCGGAAAAGAGAGGCCAGAATAAAATTGACACAGCTGACCAGTGGTAAGCCTTATGGAGGTCTTAAGTTACCAAATTTAAAATTATATTATTGGCTAATACAGACTAAAGAAACAACATGGCTGACACTGAAACAAAGCGCATGGCCCACATTTTCATTACAGGCCCTTGAATTTTGCTCAACTGAAATCTGGAACAAGTACAAAATTACAAATACGTGGATGAAAAGCAAACAAAAGACTTTAAGCATGATTAAAAAATATGAAAGCTCCTCAATTTATATCTAGGGCTTTAGAAATGTTTGGATATAATAGACTTTTTACCAGGGCAACAGGATTCAGGGTTTTGAATCTGGCAAAACAAGAATCTGATTTGTATTGATGACTTGTTTGAGGGAGAGATTCTGAAATCATTTAGTCGGATCAAGGAGAATTATGGGTTGAATATACCTGATGTCCCATACTGAATGGTCTCTTCTTAAATCACGACCTACTGATTTAGAAATGTTCTTCATAAAGATCACCAAAGAGAAAAACTCTGATAAAACTTTGTCAAATGTTTAGTCATGTATGACAGAGGGGCCTCCTGGGATAAAGGAAAGGTGGGAACTAGAAATGAATGTTGTGATTGAGGATGAGGAGCGGGAACAAGTGTGTGAAAATGGACAGAAACTGACTTAACAGTCCAACATGGACAGAATTTTATTGGAAAGTGATCGTTAGATATTTCAAAACACCATGTATTATTTCAAAATTTTATCAAACTAAATCAAATTTGTGCTGGAGACAGTGTGGACTAGTCGGAGATCACACTCATTTCTTCTGGGATTGTCCAAAGATTAAAACGTTCTGGGAGGGAATTAGAGAGGAAATTTAAAATATTTTACACATTTATATTGAATGGAACCCCCTGGTCTTTGTTCTGGGGAAACCCCCAAGTAATTTATTTAGTAAATAAAAACGGTACTTGTTTGGAATCCTTGTAGCCAAAAAACAATTATAACTGTATGTTGGTACAAACCTTTACCCCCTACTTTAAATCAATGGAAAGAGAGACTAGTGAGCGTTTATACAATGGAGAAAATAACAGCAAATAAATGTCCACTGATTTATTTAAGAAAAGGTTGAACCCTTTGATGACATATTGTTCATGCCCCTGGAGACTAAAAGTATCTCTGCTCACAAACACATCAGTGATTCAGGAACTAAGACGGCATCTGATAGAATATTTGGAGATAAATAACGTGAAGTGATGCTCCACTCGTCCATATGTGCACTCGGATGAGCTTAAAGCCGCTATCGGAGCCTCCTGGGCTCCATCACACCTCAGCAGAGCCACAGGCTGATGGCCTCCACGCTGCATTGAAGGCTGCAGAAGGATTCCTGACCAAGTACTGAATGCATAACTGAACATAATTATTTGAAGGTTAACTCTTTTGGTATTAAAACACATTTCTTTTATTGGTCNACACAACGACTAATGACAGCGGGACGTATGAATGTCGAATTGATACAGAAAAACATGTGGGGGAACTGATCAGCACCATCAGCCTCCAGGTTTCTCCTCCTCCTCCTCCAGGTGAGAGTTTGTCTCTGGATCAGAACCAGCAGCTTCCTGGTTCTGATCCAGATCAGATGATGATGATCTTCAGTCATCTCCTACCTGGTCAAACTAGAGGTTAAAGGTCACATATTTGATTAATCCTAACCTTTCAACTTTGATTCATGCCAATTGAATTTGATTGAATCTTTTACCTTTCAATATCCAACTATGTCCAAGTTATGTTGTGTAAAAATTAACCATCAAGCTGTTGGATGAAAATCAGGTTTATTTGTATCTTGTGAACAACAGATTATAAAAGATGGTTAATGATGAAGCAGCTCTGAAAGAAAAGCTCCACTTATTCCACAACAAATTACTACAACTAAAGATGTCTGTCAGAAAATAATCTGATTAGAAAAGTAAATCCACTAATAAAGAAGCCTGACAACATCCTGAAGCCTCAGACATGAGTGAAGCTAAAGACACAGTGGAGACGATGCTACAGAGATAATGCAACTGAGAAAGGATCATGCAGATGCTAATAATAAAGATACTTTAAGGGTTGAGTCGTCACTGACAGACGTTCTTGAGCGAACGACAAAACAAGAGCAGGAAATAACCAACACCAACCAGAGCGAGCGACACGGAGGACCAGCTGCTCCATGAGCTACGACTGATGCTACAGAGAGAAGCTAATCGCTCTGCTAAATGTGAGGAACTGGAATCAGAGCGAGACGAAACAATCTACACATTTATGGAAGAGGGAGAAGAAAAGAAGGACATGATTTCCTTCATAACTGACATGATGCCACCTCACTCAGACTACAGCAGGATCTCTGTGTAGAGAGCGATCAGTTTTAAGGTCATATGGACGCTCAATGGTTTTAGTTTTGGTGAATATATTAGTGATTTGAATAAAACAGACAGTTACAAATGCACAATGAGAGACAAATTAACTCAAAATAAATCAATTCCATGATCATAAAGTTCTTGTCCTGTTTCCTAGCTCACCATCGTTAAATCCAAAAGAGGATCTGATCCATCAGGGGGGAAAAACCCGACCGAAAAGGCCAGAAAACCCATTAATGTTCTATCAAAAAAACAATTATGTGCAAACACTCAAAGGAATATTAAATTCAAATGCAATTATTAAATTTCTAATAATTAAACTAAACATTTCAGTCAGGTTAAATTAACCATAATTTAAACAAAAAGAATATCCAGAACCAGTTCTGGATCAACTTGATCCAGAACCGGTTCTGGTTCTATCAGCTTGTCATTCTGACTTTCTATCAATATCAACCAATCAGAATCAGGTTGGACTGATCCAGATCATGTTCTGGTTACCAGGGCAACCAGCTCCACCAATCAGATCTCTTCGAGTCAAACTCTGAATCAACCAGTTTCCTCTCTGTTAAATCAGATTTAATGGAAAAAATCATCTGATTATTAAAATATTCTGTTATTAAAACTCCTCCATCTTCATTTGTCTCCACAGAACAATTTCCATTCTGGGCCATAGTTCTACTGGTTCTACTGGTTCCACTGGTTCTGGCTGCTGCTGCAGGAGTTTCATTTTATTTCTGGCTCCGTTGGAAACCAGGCAAGTCTCTAGAGCTGCATTACCCATAATGCCTTTGGTCAGGGTCTGCTCTCCTCCATAGCAGCTCCTGGTGCATTGTGGGTCAGCAGCTTCCTGTCTCTCTGTCAGCTTGAGGACAAACAGAACCTAAAGAGTCGGTGAGGATGGAGCAGAGCTTGGTGGGTTGCTGCCAGGCAGCAGCTGGTTCCACTTCTTCACCAGATCAGGGGACATGGACACATGTCTCTGTCCTCCAGGAGACAGAGAGACAGGGAGGAAACAGTCATGAGAACATCAGAGCTGCTGCTGTCTGTCCAACTCATCTTGTCCTCTGTTGTCTCTCAGTCCCAGAAAAGGTGGAGGTGGAACCATGGGAGGAGTCTGTCCTGCTGCCCTTTAAGGTCCCACATCGCCTGTGGTTCTGTAAATACAGACTGTCTGTGGCTAAAGTGGAGTGGAGGAATGTTAGAGACAACAGGAAGGTCCATGTGTATCAGAACGGTTCTGATCAGCCTGGAGAACAGGACGAGTTCTACAGAACCAGAACCAGGATGGATGAAAACCTGCTGAAGACTGGAGACCTCAGTCTGATTCTGAGACGACCCACTGATGAAGACGAGAACCTCTACAGCTGCAGAGTCTACAACAGGAAGGGAGACGTCCTGATGGAGAAACAAGTCTGGCTAAAGGTCAAAGGTCAGTGGTTTAAATGTATGTTTAGAGGTCAACCAGAGGAACTGTTTGGATCAGAACCAGTTCCATCTTTTTTCTCTGTTTGAACTGGATCGGTTCTGGTTCTGGTTGTGTCTCATTGACGAGTTAATATTGACATGTAGCTGGTTCTGATTCTGAACCATTCAACCTCTGACCTCCATCAGAACCCTGAATCCTTCCAGAACCCATCAGAACCGGGCCTCAGAGGTCCAGAACCTCCAGCTGGTTCTGGAACATTCTGGATCTCTGTTCAGCTCCAGAACCTCCTGGTCCAGTAGCTCCATCAACCCGTCCAGAACTCAGAGCTTCATGTCCATGTGGACTGAAGGACGTCCTGATGTGGGACAGAACCAGAACCCTGACAGAACTGGCCTCAGTCCAACTGGACCTTCTGTCTCCAACAGAGGACAGGAAGTTCTGAGGTTCTGCTTCCTGTCCTCTGATTGGTCCACTCTGAAGAGACGGAGCAGCCTGTCCTCTGCTGGTCTCCATGGAGACGTGTCCTCGTCTTTCTGCCAGTCTGAGTCCAACTGGAGACAGAGTCCAACAGCTGCTGGGGACAGTCTGCAGCTTCCTGCTGTCCTCACTGAGGACATTCTGTCCACCTGCTGCTGGTTGGACACAGCAGAGACAACAGTGTCTCTGTTCAGTGGAGACATGGGACACATTTCAGATGAAACCAGTCCAACATGTTGGACCTTCATCCAGTCAGAGGACATGTCCTCAGAGCTGCTGCTGTCTGTCCAACTCATCTTGTCCTCTGTTGTCTCTCAGTCCCAGAACAGGTGGAGGTGAAATCAGGGGAGGAGTCTGTCCTGTTGTCCTGCAGAACCACAGAGAGTCTGGATGGAGACACTAAAGTGGAGTGGGTGGACAAATATGACAGGACGGTCCATGTGTATCAGAACGGTTCTGATCAGTCTGGAGAACAGCACCAGTACTACAGAACCAGAACCAGGATGGATGAAAACCTGCTGGAGACTAAAGACCTCAGTCTGACTCTGAGATGGCCGAGATATGAAGACAGTAACATCTACACCTGCAGAGTCTACAGAGACAGAGACGTCCTGATGGTGAAACAAGTTAATCTCTGGGTCAAAGGTCAGTGGTTTAAATTTATTTTTTCAATCAGTTGATTGGTTCTGATTAATAGTGATGATTGGCTGATTAGAAGGTCAAAGGTCAATGTGATGTAAAGAGGGATGAAGATGAGGAAGCAGAGCAGGAGGAAGAGGTCCAGGACAGACAGGGACCAGAGTCCAACAGCTGCTGGGGACAGTCTGCAGCTTCCTGCTGTCCTCACTGAGGACATTCTGTCCACCTGCTGCTGGTTGGACACAGCAGAGACAACACACAGCAAAGTGTCAGATTTCCAGCACAAGTGCGGAAAGTTTAAAATGCTTTGTTAATTCAACAACATGAGTGTGTGTGTGAGTGAGTTAGATTCCCTAAAAGTTCCAAAGATTTAGTCCAGTCCAGTGTTGATTTCTAACTCAACTCTCAGTCTGGTGTTGATTTAGATAGCTTATATAATAGGGTGCCCCATTGTTGACTCATGGTTGCTAAAAACTTTACCAGACTGACTGATTTTAGTGACATAGTGGGTGTAAAATAATGAATAAAATGTTGTGCTACATGACTGGCTTTATTTTCACTCTTATATTTGACTTTACGACACAAAACTACAAATGAGTCGTCCTTATTGTCTCCAGGTGCATTCTGGGTAAAGCTTGTCACCAACATTATCATCAGTCACTTGGCAACAAATGGCAAACTAGCTAGAGCATTTCTAGGGATTACGTTAACATGTTTTGAATTTGTGTTGTTTCATCATTAGTGACCAGTAGCCTGATGTTTCTGTTCTTCTCTTGGTTTGTTGTACTTCATGTCAGATGGACTTCAAAATGACATAGTCGCTCTCTGTGGTGATGAAACTTGTTAGCTCCGCTGTTGCGGGCATGTCCATGTTGTAAGGCTAAATCATCATGAGCTTTATTATTTGGGCCCGGTCATTAGCCCCGCCCCCCGGCCGACGCCAGCTTGTTCCGCTACTGCGTCACATGTTTGCCTGAAGAGCGGAGGCAGCAGTATG